GAAGAAAACCAGAACCAGTCGTGCTGAGCTACTGCCTCTGGAACATGGCCAGGTTTCAGCTATGAGCAGTCTCGAAATAAAGCGGGACCCTTCAGTGGCTGCACCAGGCACGTGGCTGGGGGCTGCTTTTCATCCCTCCCCCGCCCTCCCAGTCCCCCAAGGCCAGGACATTTCCCCCCTCCTGCTGTGGCCCACAACATGCTCGTTTTATTTGTGACAATACAATTCATTTCTGACGCTTGGGTACCTCTCTAAAGATAGGAGGGCACATAAAGTGGTTTCCTCCTGTGTGCTAATGCTGTAAGGTTAGCATTACATATAACTAGTTAGAGGTACCGATTAAAGTTTTCTGCTCCATGTTTTGAATCAGTAGGCTTAGCTTTGGAAAGCACTTTTCCTCAGCCACCTAAAGATCTATCCTAGTTGACATAACTTTGGATCATAAACTAGATTTTTAAAAAATAGGCAGGCAGAAGTCACTGTAATCCTCCCGGTTATGGGCATTCTTGTCATATCTCTCCTAATGTTTACATGGAGTCCACCGAGCGCCAGGCGCTGCCTTAAACACTGGAGACAGAACTAAGCCTCGGCCCTTGCTCGCTGGCTGGCGGAGGAACCCACAGGAAGCGACACAAGGTGAGGGTCCTAGGACAGGGAGGGCAGAGGACGGGAAAGGTCTGGGCCACGACTCCCTGGTGAAACAGACATTGGGGGGGCAAAAAGAGGGCAGGGAAAGAACTGGAGAAAGAAAACCCTTTCTGGGAAACGGCAACATGTTCTGTTCGGAATGACGGGGAGGACGGGGAGAAGGAAGCATCCTGAGAGGAGTCTGCAAAAGCACGGCAGCAGGACTGCAGAGACAGAACCTCCCACTAAGGAGACCGGGAGCAGCGAGAAGGAAGCTCTGAAATGAACGCCGGTTTGAAATCTGAATCCTCAGAAGGAAAATGAATGAGCAAGCGAAGGGTGAAGGTGCCTAAAAAATTTAAATTTGAATAACAGCATCCCGGGAGGGTTGGTGGGTGGGGGGGGGG